CAGGCTGTTTTTCTCTACCTCCAATATCTTCAGGACTTCTTCCACATGCACAGTCTATTCAGCCTCCTCCCCCATGTGGCACTCCACACAGAAAACCTTGTCCTCAAACAGAAATCACATCACCATTAATATTACACATGCAAATATGCTTGAAAAAAGACCTGGCTTGCCGATCACATCTGAAATGTGCACACAGTAACCGGGCACACTCATGAACCATTTGGAAATTTGGATCCTGGCAGTTAAATTGCAGAGCTTTCAGAGTCTGAGCTTTCACAGCTTTCTCCCATCATAGCCAGATGGTGCCTGACCCCTGCAATCATTTCTGCTGTATTCTGTCCATATGCAAACCTCACTGCGTCCATTAAGCTGTTAGTAACGATCAACATTTTTCAGAACTGAGACTTTGATAAAGCATTGACAGAAAAATGTAAAGATTTCATAAATTCTCCCACACACATCAATTCGCCAGTGGCCACCTTAAGCTCTTCTAAAGCACCTCCATCTTGTATTAAGTACTGCTCCAAGTAAACTAAATCTAAATGGTTGACTCCCTAATAGAGCCTAGGGAATATTCTGCTACTCTCCCTTCCCTAGCTATCAGAGATTAAAATCCAGTTTCCCCTCTTTGCCTACACAGCTAAAATTCCCACCCAGCCACTCTTCATCTCCAATCCTGACTACCTGAACGTCCTTCCTGGGACTCCCATCCCATGTGTCCAGTACATGGGAAACACCTTTCTTGTCTTACCTCCTTCTGGACATACAGGTATTCTCTAAATACTGTTAATAGAGCCTTTTCCCTTTTGACCTTCAGGCAGTGCTTCTCCCTTTTTATCCACTCATTGATTCTTAAAGCATCATCACTCCTTTCCTGATACCCGCTAAAAAACAATTCTGCCCACTTGTCGTGGATATGGTATCTGAACTGTACCTCCATGATAGAAGATGCACCAGCTTCTCCTCAGAATTGCTCTAGAATAACTTATTTTAAGATTGAATATCCAGAAGGCCTTAGATTTATGCAACTACAATTCATTAATGTGCATGTTTGATGGCTACATACTATATTATTTACATATTCTATCTTTTTAATTTTTAATGAAAAAAGTTTGCTTCTGTTTTCCAATCTTTCTCCCATATTACAGTGCCAGTTGTACTGCAACACAGGACAGGATTGACTCACTACAGATACGTGTAGAATATAAACAATGCTACTAGACAGTGGGGATATCATTAATTCTAATGAAAATGAAATAAAAACTAAAACTACACATTTAGCAGTTGGATTTATGATGCAGGCATATTACTGCTAGTAACATAACAGAATCTCTGCAACTAGAACCTGCACCTGCAAGGAAAAGAAAAGGCAGGAAGAGTTTATGTTCTGTAGTGAGTGTCGGTTCAAAGTAAACATGACTACCTTCACCAGAGGCTCGTCTAGATGTTGCACAGGAATAGCTCTGAGACTCTTGGTTCCTTGCCAAGAGATCGACGTACCCACTTACTCTCACACTCTCAGGGAACCAGGTCCTCCTAGTCAAGGCTTATACTCTCTGACCGTATGAAGTTTCTACCCTGCCAGAGCTGCCCCTCCTCCCACCACCAGTCCCAGGTGAAAGCAGAAAACTCCCTTCCAGCTGCCAAGGGGCAGAGAGGGTCATTAGACACTCTGCCCCATTGCGCTTCAGCACCTGCATGTAATCTCAGAGGAAATGGGAAGGCAATGCTTCACTCTAAGTGCCTTCTTAGCCCCCATGCTAGCAGCTCTGGTTGCTGTAGTGTGAGGCTGACAGTGTAGATGAAACAAAAGAGATTACAGGTGCAGGCAGAAAGACTCACCCTAACACCTGTGACAATCACTTTGCCTCCATGAGAGACTCAGCCCCAGGGGAAGGCTTCAACAAACACAGAGGAGTAGGAATAGACCTTTCTGCTCTAACACCTTCAAGAGACTGGATCAAGGCTTGGCAGACTGTTCTTTCTATTATAAACAGCAGTGCAATCCACACATAAATATATTTATGAAATATATTGCCATGCCACGCAGGGAGCCAAGTACAGTTCCCCATGGTCAATCCTGGAATCAGAAACATTACAGACACACAAGCACTGCACTAACCCAGTTCGACCTCTTCAAGGATCAAAGCTAACTGCCCCTGAAAGTCATGCTGATCCATGCAGACATTCTAGCTCTCTCAGAGCTAGGTCAGGCTTCTTTCATACCATGCTGCACTGCATTGCATAGAAATACCATAAAATTTCAGAAATAAACATAAAGAAAACACTCAAAAGTACTATTCCCTAATTCTGGGTCGATCTTCCATTGAGCTTTGCCGAGCTTTGGCCAGCTTTGCCATCAGTGTCTTCTTCCCTAGCAAAGGAGAGGAGACCAACCCTGTGAGGAGTTTCACAGAGCTAACTAATTTCTGCTTGACTCATCCATTTAATGAAAGCACTGCCTGATTTGACAACTGAGAATAATTCAGTATGTATGCAATGAGAACCCTTTCTCAGCCTAAGTAACTGGTTTTCTGGTTAGACCCACTTCCTTGCACATTTCAAGGTTATGGCTCCACTTGTGAATTTTTTCAGGATTCTGACAGTTATTTAGCACTGCTCTTTCACCATTAATTGCAGCTTCCTGTCGTATCTGTTTGCTAAAACTAGATCTGAGGAAAAGCACAACTGTCAGTTGGTTTTCCTAGTAATACCTTTGGTAACTCAGCCTGTGGTTGAAGGCGTCTGGAGGAATGATGGACAGGAAATGCAGGAAGTGTTAATTAGCAGCATAGCTTTCTTTATGAAATATTGCATTTCTCCATTTATCCCATTTCCAGGTGTTTCCTCCTTACAACCCTGTGCTACACTTAAGTCTGGTGAATTGTGTACACTGAATTCGTCTTCAGAGGCAGGGCAACGTACGTTTTGTGCATGTTTTCATGGCAGCTGAAAGCATTACGGTATCACTACTAACAGCAGGTTGCCATTAAGAAGACTATAGCTCACACCCTGCCAGTACCAGTCTGTCTTCAAGTCTAGACAACTCCTCATATGCATCTCCTGTAACAGCCTAGTCAAACAAAGATCACAAACCACATTCTGATTATCTGTTTTCTTCCTTTCCTTCTCATTCTTAAGCAGTTGCTTGGGCTTTCCTCACACCGAGCACAGTAAAACTGGGGTGGCTATGTATGGGTATGTATGCGGTGGCTCTTACCACACTGTGTGCGCTAAGAGAATACAAATGATTATATAAATAATAAAGCTGCTGAAGATTTTCTTGTCACTGCTTTCTCTGCTCCATTGGCTTGACTTAAAGCACATATACAAATGGCCTCTTCTAAGTGTTATGCTCATAGCATGCATAAATAAAATTAAGATCCTGATTTAAAGAGACACTAAGAAGCTGTATCTGCTCTTGATTTCACTCAAACTGGGGTGCTCAGTGCCTACAAAAATCAGGCCCAAGGCTCTGTGTATGAAAACAGGATTTGATCTCCACTTGACAGATTTATTCAGCAGGGCAGTTTCCTTTCCTGTGTAATACTGAAGTCACATGCTCATTTCCAACATATGTGCATCTCCTTAATTCATCTAGAAGTCAGATAGGGCAGGAACTCCAGACTCTTCATGGCCATTGATCACGTCAAAGGACTGGCACATAACATACAACTCCTGATACCAAGTGTTGAACATCTGTATATGGTACACTTGTAAAGCAGTTTTAGACATAGAGCAACATCTACTCAACATTGCTGTTTCGATGACTCCTGCATAAAAACTCAGCTCTGCCTTCCCTTTGATATTAAATGTTGATGCAAAGAGGATATTATGACAGCCCTTGTGGCTGTAAATAAAATTAGATCCACCCAGCTGCACCTTGTGAAAAACAGCATTACTGTAGAATTATGACATTAGGCAGAAAACTCTTACAAGAAACTGTTACTCTGAACTAGCCAGAAAGCTGTCTGATAGAAAACTTCAGTGTAGCTTTTAGCAAGCTTTATCTAACCCGCTGTGGACACGTCAAAAAAGATACATGTGTATCTTCATTAATAACAGCAATAATTAAAAATTCTATTAGGAAAACTAGGAGAAAAGACAAACGGTGACTTCAGAGCATGGCCTCTTGAGTAACAACTGCACCAAGTTTCAGATTTGGGCTGCAGCTTCACCTTTCATTTTCAGGGAACCCTAGTCTACTATTCTGGTTCCTGCTGCCAGCCAAGCAGTCCAATCTCAACTACTAATGCGTGGATTTTCTCAAAGTTGTGGATTAACTGTGTGACAAGGGCAGCCTGAGACACAACGCATCATGAGACAGTATGACTTTGGAAGCCATCTAGCTATTCCTGACCAATGCAGCAGTGCTCTGCTGTGTGGACGTACCAATACAATGTGCTTCACATCCACATGCCACATTATTATCATTTCTCCATTATATCCTCATGCTGCATTTTGTCACCTAATTTTATGTATTTTGTACTATCCTCAACTCTGAATCTTCTGGTGTTCCTCCCTCTGTATCTTCCTGGATAAATGAAAACTAATTATATTCATAGGTGAAATCCAGGAGCTAGAAAGAATCCTAAAAGGCTTTTGATTGAGGGCATTTTTCATCCAATAATGCTGCTCGGCAATCAACAGCCCTTTATCTTTTTTTTTAATGGATATTGCCTTAGTGCCTAGAGGATTGTATCGCTTTCCTCTAAATGGCTAACAGCCTACAGAAGACACTTCTTTTGATATCACATGTATTTTTTCCATAATCGAGTACCATAAGTCTGACTCTCAACATAAAACTGTGTGTTTTGTGGTTCATGCCTTGTGTCCGAATGGCTGAATGATGAGTTTATCCTTACTGAGCTGTTGCAATATGAGCGTAAAATTCAGCATCAGGGAAAGACACTAAGTGTACAATGAAAGCCAGGAAAGTGATGATTTAGAGAAAACAAAACTACAGAAACAAGAAAACATAATTAATTTGAAAGAGTTACCTCTTTGAGGCAGCCCATGAAGTTATTGCTTACTGGAGAGCCAGGTAAATCAGCAGTACTGGGGCTCCCTCCTACATAAAAGAAGTCATCTGAGCCCAGCATGGTGTAGTCCTCCTGCGTGTAGCCCGTGGTGGTAAGGATGCCATCCACAGAGATTGTCACCTGTTCAAGGAACACAATGGACAAAGAAAATCCCAGCAATGACCTTACAATCCTGAACAGAAAAAGCTACCTCCCCTATATTTTTACATCAGTTTTATTAAGGATTTTGTTGAGATTTGGTATGTATTTTTTAGTACAACCAAGCTCCATTTTCTGGTCTGCTCTGCCCACAACAGAAATACTCCAACATCTGGTTATCCTCTCTTTGGTAAAAAAGTGCTACCAGGCTGATCCAGCAGTCTACACATTATGATACTTTCCATCTACTCAGGCCAGAAAATGGAACTGTCCTTGAAAGAGATTTCTGATATTAGCTGATTTTATGATTAATTAGTATTTATTTAATGATTACAGTTAGTTATGGTTGTTAGTAAAAAAAAAAAAAAACACTAATGAAGACGAGGTTGGTATTTTTTATTTTTTATGTTTCTTTTGCTCACAGCACACTGATGATCATGCATTCAGGGAGGGGAAGGGGAAGGATCTCACTTTCAATACATTATGGATATGCATGCCATGTACCTAGAGAGACACACACCCACCACCCACCACAGAAAAAAGAATTAAAAAAAATATTTTACAGGCTAAATCATAAACAAAATATAAATAGAAAAGAAATGAAAAACAAAATAAAATTAAATTAAAATAAAATCAACCACACACCAACAAGTGTGAGAGAAGCAGAGAAGAGAAAGAAAGAAAATACAAAGCGTGCACACACTGCACTTTGATAGGTCATGCCAATATATCTGGAGCCCAGAAAGATGACAGGAAAAAAGAGAGAGAGAGAAAGAGAGAGAAATATTTCACACTTGCATGCAATCATCAAAAATAAAAATACCAAACAAAAGACAATCCAAAATGAAACAAAGTCCCCAAGACCTCTAACCCCAAACACATGGAGGGTGAAGGGGAACGGAAGGAGGGGGAGGGAGAGGAGCAAGTGAATTTGATGTGTTTTGCTTAGATGTTGTTAGTGGTTTAAAGGGAAGATGAGGAAAATAGATTGAGGCCAGTAGGAGACGGGCGAGTCACCAGACGTGGACATGCCATGCAGAGTGTGTACTGAAACAAACAACTGGCTGAGCTCCTTTCGGCCACGGCAGGTCGAAGGTCAGAGAGAGCGACAGAAAGTGAAAGAGAGAGAAGGAGAGAAAGAGAAGGAAGGGAGGTGGGGGAAAATTGGGAGAAAGAGGACAACTCTGGCCAGTTTGCCTACAACCGCCGTTGCCACAACAAAAGGATGAGAGAAAAAGAGAGCCTTCACCACAACAGACTAGAGGCCCTGCAATGGTTCTGATCTAGAAACCTTCAGAGTAAAAAACAAAAATCAAAAGGGGGGAAAAAAAGGAAAAAAAAAGAAAAAGACAGAAAGATAAACTCAAAAGCAAGGGAATTGGAATAGAAAACAAAAATTAAAGAGGGAGGTGAAGAAATCAACAAAAGAAATGTCCAGACCCCATTTCCAGAAAAGTTGTGTTTGTTTGCTTTTGTTGTTCATATTTTTTCTTAAAAAAGAAAATGAAAAACTAAAAAGGGAAAAATGTGCTTTCAATGAAATTAAAATAAAATTAAAGGAAGTAAGTTAAAGGAGGGGGGGAAAAGGGGGAATAAGGGAAGGAAAAGGCAGGTAACACACGGCAAACCCAAAAAAAGAGACAATAAGAATGATATCTACCAGACAATGTAGTTTGTTTACCATAGCGTGTCCAATGCCTGAGTGCTTTGCGGAAAAGGGGGAAGAAAGGAAATTAAAAAATCGTGAACAGAACGATTGTTAATTAAAATAACTAAAAGCAAAGATGAGTCGTTAGGGTGTTAGTACATTAGTTGGTTAGTAAAAATGACACATTGCATGAATGGTCTAGTGTTAGTCTTTCAAAAAAAGGCGAGGGGCGCCTGACACACAAAGTGAGAAGGAGGACAATATGACCAGGACTCTATGGGGAACCATGCCATCTAGACTGTAAAGAGAAAGGGTGCTGCCTAGTCTTCCCACCCTCGTGTTATTCATTAACTTCCACCCTCATACATCTTATCTAGGACTGGATCAAAGTCAAAACAGTGCAATACTTACTCTTCAAATGCCCATCAAAGTGTCTCCCCCAAGCGAGAACATCTCCCTCACAGAAGTACACACCACTTTGCTCCTTCAGCACAAACCCAGCCATAACTCCTTCTTCCACCCACCCTCATCTCTACATCCCTGCTCCTCTTCCAAGCTTTACTACCCTAAAGCACTACACAGTGTTGTAAGCAGGCCAAAATTTCCTTTGGCTAGAGACTGCAGATGAAGATGAGTCCAAGACTCTTGAGCTTGTCCTTCCAAGTTTCCCGATTTGCAGGTTTCTATATAGCAGGTGAGTTTGTGACTTTCAGGAGAAGCATACAAAAACGCATGTGTTTGGTTGTTTTCCTGAAGCTCACCTGTGTGATCTGAGAGTATAAGAGACGAACCTCGGTAGAAGAATTGTGTCAAGGAACTCTGTAGGAAGAATTGTGTCAGGTTGCCTGTCTCAAGGTTAGAAGACAGAAAGCTGACAGTACTTACTGTCTCTGCTTTTGTCTGCAATATCACACCCATATTACAGAGCTAGGGGAACTCACCAGTTGGTTCTCAGTTGGGTTTAGCAGAGTTTTGCAGATGCTTTGTTGTTCCCTTCCAAGGCACACAGATGCCTACTGCTCAAACTTATACATTGTTTCTTGCTTGCTTTTTAGCATCTGGGGAACTCAAGATTTTTATAGGAGATTTTGCATGGTGACTAGCTTCAGTGTTAATAGAGAAGCACAGCCTGTGGAGGCAAGTCCTTGTTCCATTCTGATCCAAGTTGACAAAAATTATTCTAAATTACACAAATAAGATCTGTCCTGCCCCATGGAAAACTATCTTCTTGGACTTTTTAGAGAACTTCATGGGACTGAACATAATGTCATCAGGCCCTAGTCTATTTTATTTATCTTTGGAAATGAAATAATAATAATAATAATCTGCAGTTAGTGTTTTGGGTCCAATAAGCTTCAAGTCCTCTGAAATCTTCAAAGAAGTCTCATTCTGAGTAATCTGCTGTATTATTACTAAATTCATTTTTACAAACAAGGAAGTTGTGGTACAGAGTGGGGGAAAGAGCATGCCAAAAATGACACAGTGTTAGCAGCAGAACTGAAGACAGACATAGAAAGTCTGACCTTCAGTCTCCTCCACTCCCTCTCCTCCCACCAGACAACACTCCCCCAAACGTGATCTGAAAGTCCTGGTAATATACAGCAATGATCCTATTTCTAGTAAAGGTTTCTCACAAGGCAGAAATAGGGCTTAGTGCTAACTGAAATAATAAGATAAATAAACAAGATTTGTTTTGACATTAACTATCACTACTCAAGGGAATCTGTGGGTTCACTTGGTTTGTCTCTGAGGAGATTAACTCCTGTGATAATCACTTGATCTAAAAAAAAATAAAGCACTTAGTACTCTGCCAGCTTAGCTACAAAACATTTAACAATTCCAAAAGTACTCGGCAAAAAACCCAGCTATTAAAAGTTCTGCTCTAATTCTAGGAACAGCCAAGAAATTATGCAAATCCTCCTTTTCCCTCCCCCCCCCCAAAAAAAAAGGGCAGAGGAGTAGACTAGATGGCATCTTGAAGCTCTTGCTAGCCTTTTTACCTGGAATTATTTCAGGTCTGGATGATATTACTGGAATTTCTAAAATGCATTTTTTAAAGTTCATTTTAATGAGAAATATATTTCTCTCCAGTGGAACGTTTTCAACCAATTACAAGGAGGCTATTAATTTCCTCGTAAAACCTCAGTGTTCAGTATTCTTTGCATCTTCTTTTTTTGAGGAAACATGGGCACAATTGCAAACCACACTTTTCCAAATGAGCTAGAACATATTATACTGTAAGTTTACACGTGAATTTGTGTCAGGGAAGATGCTTAGTAGATAATTTATTACATACAAAATTATATACTTTGTCCTTCATTACATCTTCTCTATGAAGATCTCAGAGGACTTCACATAAATTACTAAATTAGGACAAATGGACTGTCTGAAAAATAGTTAAGTATTTTGCAGATAAACACTTGGTCCTCCCACCCCATCTCTCTCTCTCACACACACACACACACACACACAGAATATATAAGATGCTGTCAAAATGGAGTGTGTCCTTTTTTTGTTAAATGAAGCCTTTATAAGGTCAAGATATATGATGGCCATTCTCAGTTGTGTCCTGAAAAATGTCCATACCAAATATTAATTAAATATCAGTCATTCGAGTTTTCAATCTCTTTCAAACTCTTTATCCCGAAGATTGAAGGGTTTTAAGACTTCTTGATCCTCTGTATCAATTAAAATTAAGAATGTGCAGAACCTGACAGGAATACCTTAGCTTTCAAGGCTTATCTTTACTGAAAACTGCTGGTTAAACTTACCAATAATTTTTGGATAACAGCTTTCAGGACGACCAGGATTGCCTTTCCTCAAAGCTTCATCAGTTCCAATTTCTAGGCAGTTTTAGGTTCTGGGTCAATGCCATAATTTTGAGACTGAACTTAGAAGTTAAAATCAAAGTATCCAGGAAAAAGATATGGATCAAAAGAATTCCAGCCTTATGGACAATTCTTGGTTGAACTGAATTCTGTCATGCATATTAGCAGAACTGGACCTCAGATCATCTCTTTTTTTTTTTTTTTATTTTAATCTTGGCCTTTAATGACATGGCACTGCTATCTTATTAAAACATTCCCTGTCTTGCCCAGTCTAGTAAGACCCTTTAAAAATTTAAAATCACATGGAAATACTGGAGTGAATAGATCAGGAGGGGCAGAAATTTGGGATGCTACTTAAATGGCAAGGGAGTCCCCTGCTTCTAATGATCTCCAAAAAACTTTCCTGGTCTAGTCAAAGAAAAGAGGCATAGACATATTTCCATTTAATTGTGGACCCAGAAACCAAAACAAAACAAGATCGCCCTCTGAAAGATTAGGAAAGGAGAGTAAGAGCTTCCCATTCACTTTTTCAGCTGTGACCCTTTCCCACCTTCTAATTCTTCAAGATCCAAACCAACCCTGGCACAAAGCATGGATATATTTTGCTTCAGGCACAGTTTCCCATTGAAAACTAATTTCAAAAAAAAAAAGTATTAATTATTAAAATGACCAATAAACCATTCAGAGATATTCAGACACCAGCTATTCTCACAAAATCTAAAAATAAGAAACACATCAAATAAAATGATATATTCTGACCATTCCAGACTGACAGGCCTCAGCCAGTTGGTGTAACTGCCTGTAACGGAATGATGAAACTATTTGAATAAGATAGGATCATTAAGACACATCCACTGCAGAAGAAATTAAATTTGCATCTGCATAGGAACTAGTAAAAATAAATTAATATTGCTGTCAGTAATGATGCAGCAGTTTCATGAAAGTTAGGTCACAGATCTGTCCTTCAATACCCAGACACCTTGAACGTGTAGAAACATGGGAATTCAAAGAGGAAATAAAACTTCAGTTTAAATCTTCAGTTCCAACACCAAACATTTGAAAGAAAGATGTGAAACCCCCATAACAGACAAATCATCTGCAGACATCTATTAATTGAGACTGTTTCTGACCCTTCGCATTGATTAGCCTATGCTCATAGAGACATTTTATCTTAGCTACTGTAAAATATTACCATAGAAGCTGTTATCTTAGCAAATGAGGTTGTATAAACTTGAATAAAACTATTAGGGGTTGTGTTAACATTCACATTAATGAGTAAATAAACAGAACACATTGTTTTCACAAATTGATTTTAAAATCTCAGTTTACAAGCTATTTATGCTGCCTTTACCAATCAGCAAGATACCAAATAGTGCATATCCACAGTGTAAACCTCATTTATCACGCAGTAGATGTGCCTTAGTGATCTGATATATTCACCAGCTTCAGAGCAAGGTTATTTAATTTTATCTTATCTATTTATGTGTGAATTTATATTTCATGAGGAAGGGTTAAGGATTCTAAAGTAGCCTGCTAGCAAATGCATCACCGGATAGAGTTGTCTGCTTAGAAATCAGTATGCAGATATGCAAAATTACAATAGTAAAATCAGACAAAACTTTTCAAAAGTGGAATTGTAGGGCGTTGCACTGGGCTAGGGTTACTTGGCTTTCTTGGTCCTTCCACCTTTCTAGTCCTCACTGCCAACAGAAGAGTCTCATAGGCAGCGACATAAGAAATAAAGTAGAATCTCATTACAGAAATAAGGAGAAAAAAATAAAAAAGACAAAAAGAAGAACAGAGAATCAAGAAGACGCAGAAAGACCCTAGCCAACTCATTCCAAAGCTATATAGTTAAAATAATTATACACATACCCACATGCCTGCATACCTGAACATTCACACACATGCACAAAAGAAAAGAAAAAAATAAAGGAAAACCAAGGACTTCCAGAATTAGAATTAGGACATCATGGCAATGGTTAAACCAATTAACAAAACTTAAAGAAAAAGGAGAGAGGTGTAGAGCGTCGGCTGCTGGAAAAAGATTCCGTTCCCGCAGTAATTAAATGCAACAAGAATATTACTGATAAGATTGAATCACAATTAAGGAAAAAATAATATAAAAAAGGGAGAACAAAAAAGAGAAAAGGAAAAGGGAGATGAAAGTAAAACTATGTCACAAGTTTTTATTATTAAATCAAACTAGGAAAAATAGGAAATTATTAATAAAGTAGAAATGGAGATATCGCAACGGGGCTAAACTCTACTAATAGTCTTTCATTGTCCCTTGGATATTGAGATCCAGAAAACATAGAGAGACTTTAATGATTCCAACAAGCATCCCCATTTCTCCTTTACTCCCTCCCATCTGCCTCTGTCCAAATAAAACAGAATGAAGTTTTCACAGCATTTTCTGCCCTTCACCATTACCTGTCGCAGGTTGCGTGTCACTTTAACATCGTGCCACGCGTTGTCATTGAATTTGCCATTGACAGGCTCCACAATGGCCTCGAAGGCCCCAGACCCCAGGTTAATGACCAACGAGACTGCACCATCTTTCAGAGCCAGGTTGACATAATCAGCCGACTTGCCGGTGTGCAGAATGAGCCCATTGCGTTGCCATGTCTTGAAAGAGAGGGTGATCTCATCACTGCTGCTCTGGATGGGGTTTTGAGACAGGTCATAGCAAAGATATTCTGAACCACGGAAAGTGGCCATGTTCTCATCTCGTGCTGAAAAAGAAGGGAAACAGAAGAACTATTTAGCAGTTAGCCAAGAAGAGATTTGGGATCATTATGAAATTTTTGAGAAATCCCACAGCACTATTAATGTTCTGTATAACTATATATCATGACATGCTAATGACTGTACTGCTCCTGTTGTAGTATGACTGTCAAGAGAATTAACAGCAAGGTCCACAGTCCCCATAAATTTCACTGTTGTGTTTTCAGTTTCACTGCAGAAAAAACTGTCATCGCAGGGACCATTCAGAAGTATACAGTTGGTCTAGAAAAAGTGTATTTAAAGGCACTGTTATAAGACAGTTTACATCCTTATCAGGAAAACAATGGAAGACTCCACTATTAACCACATAACTGTCATCTATGAATGGCGCATAAATGTTCTGAAAGAAATCAACCCCCCCCCCGCCCCAAAGATTAATATTCAGATTAATTAGTAATGTCACGTTAGGTGATCACAACTCATCTGCTAGGCAATCTAAGCTGAACACCAGAACGTAATACTGATTGAACCGTCCCTTTCTTTCAACTAAGAGACCCGGCAGACAAGAGAGCCACATGAAGTGTCCTATAGTTTCTTTCTTGAGAGTATGAAGGAAGTCCACATAAAACATTTGTCCAGAGCTGTGAGTGAGTTTAGTGGTAAACACTCCTCAGAACTTTGCCTGTTCGATCACCTTATCCAGAGTTTTGTTAATACACAAGCCTATCTTTTTAGTACAGCAGAAATAAACCCAGGGTATTATTCACAGCACATGGCATGAAATATTTTCTCATTAAACAATCAAATCTCATGGGCGCAGAATATAGTAGGGAAAATCAGTAGCCTTGTTTCTTAGTGATTGGAGGCAGCGTTTGAATGTCATTCTACAGAATGAAATGCCAGCCTGAAAATCCTTTGTGTAAGCTGGAAGTCTGCTTCCCAATATCTGGGCTTCCACAGTCATGCAGAACCAATTTTTCTACCAAATTGCACTCATGTGACCACAGTCAGCTATGCTCCCTGATTTCACCCAATGAAAGGAATACAAGACTGCAGTGGTAGAGCTTGAAAGAGGGCAGTCTATAGCCCATTTCTTCCCAGTGCATTCCAGGAGATATTTCCATTACAGCGGAATCGACAAAGATCTACAGATCAACTCTCTCAGTATTGTGGCAGGTTTTTTCCCTCCAGCCATGAAAGCAAGTCTGAGCATGAACGACTAGATGGTGCAAGCAGATTTGCTATCACTACTTAAAATCCACTGCATAAGGCAAGTGCTGATGCTATTGCCATTGACATATTAATAGCAGTTTTCTGCTTCATTTTGTCTCATTTGGTAATCCTAATAAAGATTAGCCAGAATTTGTTAATACAAGACCAAGGGGAAAATGCTTGTTGTCACAGCTATCCTTGAAAAATAACTAAGTGGTGAAATCTGTGTCTTCACAGCATGCAATGGTAGTCACAAAACAGCATAATGCTGCAACACGGACACATATCATCCTCAAGTGATAAGTCTGCTTTAAACCCAGACTTTTGCAGTCTTGCCTGAGTATCACAGAATGAACTCATCAAAAAACCCAGGCTCTATGACAGCAGCTGTAATCCATGTTTGTGCTTGTGTAAGTGTATTGTGTGTCTGCATACCCCTGTGCGCATAGAGTAACACAAATTACTCCATGCAATTGCACAGGCTGGAAGCCAGCTGGCAAGAAAGCAGCTTTACAGAAAAAGACCTGGGGACAACAAGTTGGACATGAGTCAGCAGTTGGTCCTTTCAACAAAGGTCAGCTGCATCCTGGGCTCTACTAGCAAGATTGCAGCCAGCAGGTCCAGGGAATTGATGCTTCCCCTCTGTTAGGGACTTGTTAGACCACATCTTGAGTACTGTGTCCAGTATTGAGCTCCCCAGTGCAAAAATAATGTTGGCATACTAGAGTAAGTCTAGTAAAGAGCTACCAGGATGCTCAGGGTGCTGCTGCAGGTGATATACAAAGAGAGGCTGAGAGAGCTGGTTTGTTCAGTCTTAAGAAAAGAGGGCTTAAGGGAGCCTTACTGCTATCTACAACTGCCTAATAGGACAGCGTAGAAAAGACGTGGTCAAATTCTTCTTGGAGGTATGCAAAGGAAGGATGAGAGGCAATAAACAAAATTGGAACATAGAAAAAAATGTTTTACCATGAGGGTGATCAAACACTACAAGAAGAGCCTAGAGAGACCATTAAATCTCCATCCTTGGAGATATTCAAAACTCGACTTGGGCATGGCCATGAGCTGCCTTCTCTAACTGGACACTCTCTAAGTAGGCAGTCAGACTGGCTGGCCTCTGGAGGTCCCTTCCAAATTACATGAGTCTATGATTGTGTTCTGAATACATTTATCTACCACCAAGGACTACAGATGCTTGAATTAATATTCAACCAGCCTATGAACAGAGCATTGATATTGATTATGGTTCTGAAAGTGTCAGAAGTAAGAGCTTAACAACACTCTCCACTATGATAATTCCCCTACCTAGTCACTTCTCATCCTTCAGAAGGAAATAGGTTACAATCAAGTCGGACACATGCTCTATATACCTGCAGGTAATTCTGATCAAATAGCTGGCATCTGAGGTTAGGAGTCAAACGCAATCATGATGACTAAGCCATTTTCCCACTGCCATACATATGTGAAGCAGTGAATACATCTTTAACATCTTCGAGGGGGGGCAGAAAGGGGGCACAGGGGGTTGATTGTTCACTCTGTACAAGACATTAATAGGGCTCATTTACAGTTTCTCAACCACTTAGATAAAAATCTCACTGGTCTACTCAGTGCAAAGGAGAAGGCAAAGAGTAGATTAGAAATCTAAATGGTAATGTAAGGCAACCACCGCAGACTCATCACAACACGGTAGAGAAAATTCAGGAAGATATTCCTCTTGCATTCTTACTTGCACCACTAGTTTTAAGAGAAGAAGTTATCAATCCACCCCTGCATGCAACAGAGTCATTTGTCTGTTTCCTCTGGTCATCTGCTGCTGACCATTGTCACCAGTGGGATTCTGGATCTGATCCACCCTTGTATCCTTTCTGTTCTTATTTCTTTAAAGCAGACCAGACAGGCTTGGGAGAACATCACCTATTTCTGATCCATGCATTGTTAGAGCTTTTTTCCTCCTCCTGTGGCTTCTGCCTGCCTATCCTCCAGATAGACATTAAATTTGCATATGAAACACCGCACACTAAAATCTCACTGGCGTGAGATCACTCAAGCCAATCAAAATCCACACCTGTCTACCCCATGTCTCAGAAGCACAACTCCCAAAGTAAATATACTCTCTAAAAATATATTCTCCAAACTAGTAACTCCTAAACCATGATTTGTGGGTGACTGGTAAACCACATGGCCACATTAAGGGCTTCAGTGCACAGACTAGGCTCCAAGCTCCAGAGAGCTACGTGTCTTCCTTCCAGCTACAACACAGGCCTTTTTTAGCCCTGTGGTCTGACCTGACACAGGACAAGGTCAGCCATTCCACGCTGGGCTGCATGTTAGGACTCTCTAATGTATGTGATGTTGTCACAGGCAAACAGTCCCGACTCAGAGAATTTCACTTAATTTATTGCCAACTAACATAAACCTTTAATTACTGATTTGGGTACTGAGAAACAAAGAAGATGTAAACAATTAAACAAACACTTAGGGAAACAGCTTTCTTCTCCTTTGCTCAGGCTCCACGTCAGTCGACCAGCTCTCCTCCCTTCCTAGTCTGAACTGTCTTGTTCTCACTGCACATTATACTCAGCACCCCCCCCCAATCCCTTCAGTGAGGCAACGGGTGGCGCAGGAGGTTAGGGTCAGTGCCTAGGGGTTTCCTTCTGCCACTCCATGCTTCCTGCACTTTTTTCCACTGCTCCTTGCTTCTTACTGCGCCTCTGCCCCAGCATGGGTCCCCCAGAGCCGCAGTCCCCTCAGATGTGTGCCTCCTGTGCCGTGGAGCACCTGCAGCCCTGTCCCTTCTTGCTCGCTTCCTCCATTTCATTTCTCCAAATGCATCTCTTCAAATCTCTCCTTGTGCCCCCTGTTGGGTCTTCTCCTGGGTCTCCTCTCATGTGCACCTCACACCTCCTCCTGTGTCTCTTGCCCCTGTCAGCTACCGCCCTTTCTTAAATCCAGGAGCAGCGGTGCCATCCAGGGGCCGCATCAGTGCTTACAGAGCCGGCCGGAACGGGCTGCGACCGGCCCAGGGCGGTTCCCGGCCCCCTCCCACACAGGGCACCCCACAGGCCCTGCCAGCCGGCACCCTGCCATCTGCTCCCAGTGCAGATGTCTGTGACAGGAAAGCATTTGGGAGTCACTGGACAGCAAGGAGGGGAACAAGGGACACGTGCGCTCTCCTCGGTCCATGATTTAGAAGGGCAAAAGCCCTGACTAGGCTGCAGGTCTCACAGTATCTCCCTGTGCCTGTGGGCACAGACTGGTGGTGTCTGTAAGCCCAGAGAGTGGTAAATCATCTGTTATTTGTTAACTAGCAACCTCTGTGCTATATATTTCTGAAGGCTCCACAAACTTTCCACAAAAAGGAGACCAGACACAGGCAATTCAAAGAATGATGCCAAATTACACCGTTGATATTTATGGCTTTTATATTCTTGAAACAATTTTATAGGGTACGAAAGAGCTTCCATATAGCAACATGACTAACCTAGGATAGCTAAACTTAACTCAGAGTCAACAGGAATCATGGGTTTATATTACATGGAAAAATAGACCAAGCCCTGATTTTGCTGATATATGAAACTCTCTCTATATAAACGATACTACCCTGCAGCGATGTTTCAGCTGTTGAAGTGTGACAATGCAACTCTTTTCCAATGCATTAAAATACAGTTTACTTATAGCAGCATTTAGAATATGTTTGCAAACTACTGATTTATACATGATTTGCAAGTGCTAATTCTTAACTCGGTTAACACTAGAGTAATACACACAAATCAAAATCTGAAAGCAGGTTACTTACTAA